TCATTTTCTCTAATTCCAACAATAATGCAATTATGGCATGTGCTTTATACTAGAGAAATAATTCAAAACAATAGTTGACCAGTTTGTTGATAGAACTTGTTGGAAATATTACATCGAGGAAGGGGAAGGGGGAGGTCATACGTCATATCCGTGACTTTTACTAGGCATTATGGGAAGTGTGAAATTGGTGAATTAACATATGGGACTTGCCCCAGGACCTATGAGTTTTGGGCCAAACAGGATATCACCCTACACGATGGAATTATAGTATTTCCTCATTGATTCTTCATCATCTACATTAATATTTGTATTTCTGTCAATGTTCCTCTCTTTCTCAGTTATATCTTTGAATCATTCTATCATAGAATATAGCAGGGTTTCATAGTTTATAGAATTTCACTAATAATTATGCAAATTAGATCATGACTAGCAGAAATGTCATCTCCTCATGTCAGACATCACAGCTCCGTAGATACCAAAAATCACGGCGATCTGTCAACCCCTTCTTGAGTTATCCTCCCAAGATTTTATCGCTCTTACAGTTCCAGTATAAGGTGTTAGAAATCCTCACAAGCATCAGAGCTACATGTATACCACCACCAATAAATCGTGACCTACAGCATGTCCATAACACTAGATACAAAAACAGGTCTGGAAGTTCTGCTGCAATACGTTAAAAAGCCATTAGGAGGCCCATAATATAATAATGTGGAGGTCTGATTAAGACCTACTAATACATCAAATATCAAGACAATCCATCTAAGGCTTCTCAAGTTATCATGTTCACACATAGACACAAAGACACACACACACACACAAAAACATAACCTTCTCAAAGCTAATGAATGAACACTTCGTTGAAGGTTAGACATCCAGGTAATACGATACGCCAAAAAGCAGTTACTCAAGCAACTGGATATGATTTTGAAAACGTCAGACGTTTCAGCTAGTATCCACTAGCTTTCGTCAGTGACTGAGAGACCAGAGGGGAAAACAGGTTTATAAGCACAACCTATTGATTGATATGCAAATAAAGTGAAGACAAATTTTTGGAAGTCGAAAAAGGAACACAAGTCAGACAAGTCAAGACAAGATGATGTAAATTAGTCTGAAAGCTCCTGTTATGCAGAACAGGAGCTTAAGTGTTGTCTGTTCTCGGGGCTGGGAGTGCCAAATCCCAAGTGCCGGAAATATTGACCCGTAGCCCCCCTTCCCTGTTGAGGAGCTTTCAGACTAATTCACATCATCTTGTCTTGACTTGTCTGACTTGTGTTCCTTTTTCGACTTCCAAAAATTTGTCTTCACTTTATTTGCATATCAATCAATAGGTTGTGCTTATAAACCTGTTTTCCCCTCTGGTCTCTCAGTCACTGACGAAAGCTAGTGGATACTAGCTGAAACGTCTGACGTTTTCAAAATCATATCCAGTTGCTTGAGTAACTGCTTTTTGGCGTAATGAATGAACAATCATAAAAAAGATAAGAAAGCAGATCATACAAGCAACGTAACAGTCCTACTCACCATCAATATTGTTCAGCCTTTTCAAGGCCCTACAAACAGGTGTCTTTATTCTGTTGGGTAAGAAAAAATCATCACTCGTTATGTTAGCATCAGGTCAGCAACAAACTTGACTGCTGCAGTTCCCCAAAATACCTGCTAGGAGGCATGAACTTGTGCAATCTCTTTATGAGGCAAAGAGCGATCAGCGACCCATAAGCCTAGACTGCAATTCTGCTGCAACACTGCAATTCTGCTGCACTACATGTGTACTTAGAAAAGCTGCAAGGTGTCCAAAGTCTAGTCATTTCTTCGACGGGTTGAGACCTGAAATTCCATGCCAATACACCAATTATCTTGTTGAACTATGGAGCTAAACCACATGCAAACATGCATAGAATAAATGCTAGGGGAGGAGGGAAAATAATAAATCTTTGTATCAAAATAATGCTCATGTCAGATAACATTAGAAAGAATGCAGCATACATACAGATACAGTGACATGTCAGCTTGAAAGCAACTTGCTAGAATAAAACTGTCCATCTTACCTGACATTTTTCCCCTTCACCCTCACTGTTGTCACCCTGTGAATAGGACAACCATATGTATTGTTTGAAACTTGCACAAATCATGGACACCTCTTTAAAAATGTGAACAAAACCTGTTCTAAAATATCCCCAGGCACTTCCATACCAAATTTCAAGTCATTTGATCTAAAATGAGTTGGATCAGCAGGAGAAGGAATACACAGAACACAAAACACTTCTCTCCCTGATAGTAGGAGTGAAGTATGATAAACAGATGACTGGAGCATATCTTTGACAGAGGTTCTGTAATTTGCAAGCCTTGGTATGACATTGAGAACAATGTGAACAAAACTGACTTTCAATTTACAGTACACATAGAGAAATAAATGTATCACTTACCCATACTTGATGAGTTCATTTAGTTTGTGTCCATTTTTCTCATCTAGCCCTAAAAAAGAAACAGGTCTTACTGATTTCTCCCAAATGACAACAAAAAAACAAATATTCACAACTTCATAAAACTGATTAAAGATATAATAGTAAGTTGTATTTAGTTAGGACTAAATGGTAGAAAGTTGAATAAAACTTACGTCCAATTTTTTTCCTCAGTTCGCCATAGTTGATGAGTCCATACAGCTCCTGAACAGCCTTCTTCACATCTTTCAAATAAAGGTACATGTAAGGTGACTTAATAAAGAGGTCTGTTTTATAAACAACCAAGGGGTTTATTCAGCTGACATTTCAGTCTGTCACTTTCCTCAGGGCAAATCCAACTACTTCCCTGTAACTGTGTAAATGAAGAGTTTGGGAACTCATCTATTCGGCAGCGACACCTGTGCTAAGTATGCATCCCGAGTTTGGGGTTAACCAGAGGCACCTGCTTAGAAAAAAGCTTTAAAAAAGTGCGTAGTTTATTAGAGAAAACACAGTTTATTTTAAATGCCAATGTTGGAAAACCGACTGTACAATGTTTCATCACTCAGGTGTCAGATCATGGAGCTAGAAAAGGTGGATCAGCTAAAAAAATTTATGTCCCTTGCAGGGGTACAAAAAAGTTTTTTCTAGGGTCGGTCAGAAAACAGGAAACACACCATTTTTTCCCAGGCCTTATCAAGTGTGTTGAAATGATTCTTACCTTCATTGATGTCTAGAAACTTGGAGATCTTGTTCCAGGTGCGATAGTACAAGTGCCGCACTTGGTCCTTGTTCTTGGTAAGGGAGGGCGGGTCACCACGCTTCTTGTGCTTGTTGGCAATGTGAGCTTGGATGGATTCAAAATCCTTCCCATACTGCAGTGGGAAGAATTATGTTAGGATATATATATATGTGTGTATACTGTATATATATATATAGGCAGCACTGTTTTTTCGTCCATTACAGGAACTTTGCAAAGTGTGACAGAAATTTTTTAAACCAATCCGTCAACCTTGACAGACAAAATTAACAAAAATCTTGAATAACAATATGAAAACATCCGAAGGACTGCCGACAACCACTCTCAACACCATGATTTGCCTCAGACTGACTCAGAGTCAAAATGTGGGAAATTGCATTTTGGAAGGCTTGAAAATCCAAAATTTCACGGGTGAGCATGCCCCCAGACCCCCTAGATTGAGAGTGCCTGCCTACGACTTTTCCCCTCACCAAATCCGGTGATGAACCTGGGCTGACAGAAAAAAATTAAAGCTAGAGCCTTGCTCTACGCTTACTAAGTTAGCTATTGCATATTGCATGTTTTACAAACATATTCATGTCAAAGGCATCCAATCCAATTTCAGATTTTTTTTTTATGCTATGGAAAAATCCTTCCCATACTGATCATGATATCTGTGAGTGTGAGGCAAATATTTTTGTCACTGACAGATCTAGAAAAGGTTGCTTGTCAAATTATAGGCTGGTTCAAGCTACTTATGGGCGGTACCCAAAAAAGAAATATCATCATGTATAACTTGTTTTGGGACTATTTCAAACATTTCAAGTATGATGACAAAATGTGCCAAGAAATGGCGCATTTTGTCATCATACTTGAAATGCCTCTTTTCTTTTGCCACCCTGAAATTGCATTGCATGCCTTTAACTACATGTATTGTGATACATATACAATATTAAGTTAAGCCAAAGGTACAAGAAAGTTTGCAGTAGATACTGACCTCATACAAAGCCTCGAAGAAAGCGTCCTTGTCCTCCTGGTTCCATGATTCCCAGGTACGTTTCTGGCATTTCTTCTTCCCGCGGGCAGGGGGCTCTCCTGCACCACTATTTGGTCCCTTCTCTGTCTCTTCTTGTTCACATAAAAATACAAAACACTTTGTGAATCGAAAACTTCCATTTTGTCACTTTATATGGTACAAACACATAACATTAATAATATCCAATCCAACAAATTTTTGTTCACAATTTTGTTCATTATCCTAGTTGGTGAGCTTTTACCCTGTACAACAATACATAAGTTGAGCTCACGGAACAAACTGATTATTGCACAAAGGAGACAGAACAAAAGTAATACCGGTTACGATAAACATAGAATCTATCATGGTATATAGACAACCTATTTCCCTGAGATTACAATACACATGGATACCATCAAAATCATAGACTACCAGGTTATCCGCCTTTTGAGTTTAAACTCTGAACAAATTCTCAGAAAAACATTTTCTGTACAGAATGTTTAGCATTTAAAATGATCTGAAGGCAGAGTACAACAATTATTTTATAGGTAGTGTATATGGACCTCATGTTAAAGTTATATTTTATCTTACTTGATGTTGTTATCGTTAACTTTAAGTGTAATGTATGCTTTGTAAAAAAAAAAAATTTACGTGTTTTTTTTGTTTTTTCCTGTGTGGCATGTAAGTGTTGAATAAATGCAGGACTACATGAAAAATAGCAAGCAACTAGAAGTACCAATGGTTGAAGTAACGTTACATACAGTACATACACATGTGCTTTTCACATTTTACAAAGAATTTCCTGACAATGCTTATGTTGACTACTATTGACGGTGGCTTGCTACGCCATGTGGAAAAAGTCAGGCAAACCCTCATCAACTGTTGTCTTGAAAAAGTAAATGTACAAATTGTTGTTGTTAGGATGTGACTGGTCATGTGATCAGTTCCCTTGGATCAGGTCCAGATTGCATGTACAATTTTGTGTTCATGTTACTTTGACATGCATTTTTGTTGGGGACAATAACGTGGAAATTTAACAAGCAAGGCAAAAAAATAATAAACTTAAGTGGCATTTGGTTTACAATCTTGTAAACACAATTTTAAGTCCAACATACGAGAAAAGGGGTAGCTTGTTTGGAGCCCCAAGTGACTTTAGTAATGACAGCCATTTTGGTTACTACCATGTACTAAATCGCCCTAGCAATGCACTATACTTGAGTAAAACTACAAATAAGTAACATCGAGTAAATCTGACACAATTCTATTTAGGTCATTTCCATCCTACCTTGTTCCTTCTTGTGTTCTGGTGGTGGACTTTCGTCCTTTTTCAGTCTCTTACTAGACCTGAGCACGGGATGGCCTGTTGTACCGCCCTGGTCGTCTCTGCTCGACTCGCTGTGTTGTCGCTTCCTGGGACCGCTTTCTCCGCTACACATGCCGCTACCGTCCGGGATTTTACCTGCTGCTTTACCCCCTGTGTCTTTCACGACATCGCTGACCATTCTACAGGACACAAATGGGGATAAAAATCGAGCAATTTGCAGAAAATTCCTGACGACTCACGAAAGCGTAAGCCATCGTCTCGGAGTTATTTTTCAAGATGGCGGCTTGCTGTACTCCAGCCTTTGTTGTTAGAAGAAAATGTTTCGCTTATTTTAAACAGCCATCGTACGTAGGGCTATCAAATACACATAGTATACATTTATATGATGCTACATAAAGAAAAAAAATATTTTACAATTGCTCCTTTTCGAGAAATAAAACCCGAAACACAATCTGCGACCTAACGTCCCATTTTCAAACCACAGTCGACAACATACGAGCTAGTTCCAGCTACTTCAATTTTACCCATCTCCGTCGCCTGTTCCCAGCCCTTTTCCTGTTCCAGACACCCTTCTTCTGTTCACCATTAGGGATGTACCACTTGAGGTTAGGATGACAGGGAAAAGTCGCACATTTTCACCCCATAATACTCGCTAACTAGCACGATAGTTCATGCTTTCAGTGCGACTAAGTGCTGGCTGCACCGTCGGTAGTCTTATCTATGCATACTTCCCCCCAACGTAGTGAAAATAAAATAACTCTTCAACAAAACAAGCTACATGCCACCAGCAAACGTTTGGAAATAATCACCAAAACGACTTCATTAACCAATTAGATTAATCGTTTCAAAGCAAGAATATTGTAATATAGATTTTCTAACTGTATCATTTTATATGATTACAAAATGAAACAAAAGCAAACCGAGTGGAACTCAGTACGTGTGAAAGTACGAGACTTCCCAAGTAATAAAATCGGCTAGCTACACCATTTTAGGAGTTTATAAGTATGAACAAATTTACTTATCCTAACTTTGCTGCAAGCTTCAAGAAGTACATCGATTGTGCTATTTTGATTATAAGAGCACTCTTGACAAATATCATCTAACGTTACATCTACAGCGATAACAAAGGTGAGAGTAGAAAACTTCTTGGTGGTAACTGATGGCACAGTCAGGAAAGAACTCAAATTTCAAAAGAAAGTCAACTGCTAAAGTCAAAATAATGCAGAAGTAAAATCCAGCATGGACTTCGATTTCCATCAAAATACACTCTAAAATTCTGTAACGTTATATAAAATTCTAGTCATCTAGTCATGCAATAGCACTAGCAGGGTAGCCAACCATATATAAGAGCCATATAAAAACGTCATCAAAAGTCACACATTCTGTTGTACGTTGCTTGTGCTTGTGTAGTGCTACGTTATGAACTCAGAAATAAACACAACTCAGCCACACTTATAAAGGTAGCAGTTGTCAGCTTATATCTGTCATATAAACTCAAAACAAGGAGGAACAAACCCATAATATAACCTTACATTGGATCTGGCGTATTTTCTTTACCTCCGCAGTTGAGAAATTTTCATGATCGTCTATAATAACATAGGTCTTACGCTTACACAAATGTCCATTAACACTTACCTGCCGTAGGAAAGAATATAGGCGATACTTGGATAAATGTCATTGCAAATCTCTCTCACATTTAGGTGAAAGTGGGTTGACCTCTTATGTTTCCAAGGTTTGGCGCGGAACTGAATCTGCGGCTGCGGATTGGCCTGCCACTAGTCACGTGGTAAACCTAAGGCAACCTAAAACAGCAAAAGGTCAACAACAAAACACAAAAATCTTTTTGAGGTTCAACATCAGACTAAATGTTCTGAAGTTATAAAAGATACCGGCATGGTGAAATTAGTAATATTACAGAAGAACACACGAGACATATACTTTCGTTAGTACGGTATTGCAATGTTGGTGATTCGAATGAAGATTCCCAGCTGAACTCCAGCTAGCGCAGCCAGTCATGTACAAAAGGATCGCACTACAATATCCTTCTGAACGATTGATATTGTACAATACATACAGGCATGTGGCACTGCTATGTCTTCAAATTTATATAGCAAACAGTTTGAAGATAGATCACCATATCACCGAATCCGGTGCCTACTTTTACTAACCACTCCTAGCTGTGATTGGTCATTTTAATTTCCCTCGTATCCGGCCTCACTACTACTCATGATTGGACAGTTTTAAATAGTTTTCAAGAATTGACCAATCAGATGCCACATAGGGCGGGCGGAGGAGTTTGGAAGGCTGACCTATGACGTCATCTCCGTGCGGCCAGTTCGACTGTTGGCGGCGACGTTCAGGACTTTGTTTCAACTCTCGAGTCTCAACCACCTCGGCAAAAATTATTCAGACGAACAACTACGGATTCTGAGCGAAAGATGAGCGGATTTTACAGCGACAAAAATTCCTCAAGGTATGTTCACCGTTCAAACCTCAGTCCACGGGAAATTTATCTGGGCAGCGAGTAGGTTATACATAAGCCTTGGTTATACTAGATCTGGGTGTAACACAAATGATTTGTTTAGACGTTCCAAAGTTGTTGTCATGTAAATTATGATATATGTAATTTGGTCAAACTCGGACTTGGTATCATCATGGAGTTACCTCCATGGTATCATGGCTATGCTGGCCACAAAACAGGCTAAACACTGTGAAGTTCAGGCTTGTACTTACAAAGTTTCGCGCGTACTTACGTATGTAGCGCTACATGTAAATATTATATATGTTGCGTTTTATCAATAGTGAAAATTTACTCTGTCGGCCAACCTTCATCCGCCAACATCCATCCCCCCAACATTCAGCCTTCCCCAACATCCAGCCATCCCCCACACACATCCAGTCATCCCCCACACACATCCAGTCATCCCCAACATCCAGCCATCCCCCACGTCCAGTCATCCCCCACACACATCCAGTCTTCCCCAACATCCAGCCATCCCCCACATCCAGCCTTCCCCAACATCCTGCCATCCCCCACATCCAGCCATCCCCAACATCCAGCCATCCCCCCACATCCAGCCTTCCCCCAACATTCAGCCTTCCCCAACATCCAGCCATCCCCAACATCCAGCTAAAAACAAACCTTAGTCCTATAGTATAAAGGCCTGTGCAAAGGAGCAATACTGACCTTATGTATAAAATTGTGCTTTCATTGGGGTAAGTACTATTCTCTAGTACCCCCATATAGTACGAATTCCTGAAGACCTGCTAAAGCTGAAGCTGCCAGATTTTGAGATAATTTGATCATCACAGTCCATGTGACGCCACTCTGTGCTGTAATCTATTCAATGCTTCCAGACCTAAAGAGCAAAGCTCTAGTTTACTAGTAGTAAGTATACTGCCAAAATTTTAGATTTCTTTAGAGCTTAAAATGCCCACATGTATGCAACATTTTCAAAATTTGCACATATAAATATTCTGAACAATTTTTTACAACAAATTTTGCATGTTGCAACTATTGGAATTGGATAGGGTTCCTTCCAAACAGCAAAAGAAAGAAATGTTTAAATCTATATATGATTCTTCATCTCTTTTTTGTATGAAAAATTTGTTAATATTGCAATAATACATACATATATATAAGTCCCAATTCTATATCTAGTGTGGGAAGTTAAAGTTCAGTCTTTATTTCATACATATATATACTAGACCTACCCACTTACCAAATATCAAGATAATCCATCTTAGCCTTCTCGAGTTATCGTGTTCAGTGTCACTGTTCACACACACACACACACACACACACACACACACACACACACACACACACACACACACACACACACACACACACACACTCACACACACACACACACACACACACGCACACACACACACACACACACACACACAC